TTTTTCTTGGAGTTCTTAAAGCATAATTTGGGATTTGGTTTCTTCTGGTTGTTTATTGCTTTCCCTTTTATGAACTTTGTCTGTTACTCGGGACTGTCTAATCTATATGCTTTTTGTTGTTTCATATGTTTCTTCTCTTTTACTGATTTCATCTCAATGCACATGTGATGTTCTATACAGAAACCTTCTATTATCTTAATACTTCAAAATTTAGAGGGCTCGTATTTAAGTAGTGTTTTCTTTCTTTCATTATTTTCTGATATGAGTTAACGTATAGGTTGGATGGGAGGACAGTGAGTTCTGAGAGGCAGAAGCTTGTTGAGAGATTTAATGAGCCTTTGAATAAGAGGGTAAAGTGCACTCTGATTTCAACTAGAGCTGGCTCGTTGGGTATAAATCTTCAAGCAGCTAATCGTGTTGTTATAGTTGATGGTTCTTGGAATCCAACATATGATCTCCAGGCTATCTATCGATCATGGAGGTAAGCTCCTTTTAATTTCTCCTTCAGTCCAAGAAGGCTTTCTTCTGTTGGAAACATTTTTTATAAAATAGTGTACTTTTGTATATTGAGAAATCGGAGTAGGAATAAATGTTTGGGGGAGTGGGGATGATGGAATAAGTTACAATTAATGGTGCTTTACGGAAAATTCTTTATTTGAGCAGTGCTTTGGGATAATATAGGGTGCTTGGCCTCAACTTGCTGTAAACTTCATTGTCTTTTTATAGCCATTTCTTTGCTTAGTTAATTTTTTGTTTGTTTGTATTTTTGTTTTTTAAATAGATTCTCTTATCCTCCAATTTTTCGCATTCATCTTTACTTATCTGAATAGAATTGAAATTCAACAAAAAACAAAAGAGATGTCCTATAGAGTTCTTACTTATCTAACAGTTAATACTAATTGTTACAAAGAAACTCCTAAAATAAAAGCTATAAAGTGAAATCACATTAATGAATTTTATTTTGTCTTTGACATAAGCCCTTATGCAAGAGTTCATTAAGGTTTGAAGAAGTGTGTGAAATGCATATATGATTCCTACCTTTATTTTAAACTTGGTTTTCTTGAGAAGAATGGATAACAGAAGGGTGAATTCTGTAGACCATTTGATCTTATAGAGGCTCCAAAATTATGTCAAGAATCCATTCACCCAAAAAGCTTAAGCTGCAAGGTGAAAGTTGGGGTTTACACTATTAATGATGATCATCGATATTTTCTTATTCCTTCCAAAGCATTTGCTTATATTGGGGGGAAGTAGGTGCTTTGTTAACAGTATTGTATGCAATTGATTCCTCAAAATTTACAAATCAAAATCTTCATTTGATTTTGAATATCTATGCTTATATTGGGGGAAAGTAGGTGCTTTGTTAACAGTATTGTATGCAATTGATTCCTCAAAATTTACAAATCAAAATCTTCATTTGATTTTGAATATCTATGCTAGTTTTAAAAATCAAAGTCTTCATGGATAGATCCTTAATTTCTATATGTTTTGAGAAACTTCTCCGGAAGTATTTTTATGAGACATTAGAAGCAAGAATAAATTTGGGTTTTCCATAAACTAAAATTTCATTTTTACATATGCTAAATTGTGGAAGTGATTTCGTATTGGCTTCCCCAAAGTCTTATTTTAACCTGTCTATAAGCTAATTTATTCTTCAAATTTTTCTCACCTAGAAGTGCTTATGAAAGAGTTTTCTTCAAACAGACCCTATTGTAATTGTTAAACAGTGTGGTTGAAATAAAAATAATTTTCATGTTTGCAGGTATGGGCAGACAAAGCCTGTATTTGCTTATCGATTGCTAGCTCATGGAACTATGGAAGAGAAGATATACAAGCGCCAGGTAGTAGTACTACATGATGTGCTTCTATTTTTCATTTGTCGATTTTTTTTTTCTCACTCCAGAATGATTTCAATAGGTCACAAAGGAGGGGCTTGCTGCTAGGGTGGTTGATAGGCAGCAGGTGCATAGGACCATTTCTAAAGAAGAAATGCTGCATCTCTTTGAATTTGGTGATGATGACAACCCTGAGACTTTAGGCGATCTAGGTCAAGAAAACGAGCACCAAGAAAACCCAATTTCGGTTGGGCATTCTCTGAAACACACAGCACCACATTCAAATGGAAGTAGTTATTCTGATAAGTTGATGGAAAGCTTACTTAGCAAGCATCATCCGTGGTAGGTTCTCTGGACTTTATCCATTGTTTTCATTTGAGACTCTTCTCATGAATGTGCTGTCTTCCTCAATTGGACTTTTTGGTATCCTTATTCTCCCACATTCTTTTCAATTTCCAATACTGGATCCTGTTAAGTGGTGAATCTACATGTAGAAATGAAGTTCACAAGGTAATTTTTATTATCATCATACATTTTGGTTTACAACTTGGAAGACAGTATCCTATTTTAAATAGTTAGATATAAAATCTATTCATAAGCCTCCTATCTTCAACAACTTAAGCTTTTTGGGTTAGTTGGTTTATGATGGGATATAAGGTCATATACAACCTAGCAGTCAAGACTTTTATCATTCCTGCCCCAGTTTTTAGAGACAAGTTGAATTTTAGGTCAATGTACAATGAATTTGTGCATTATTCATTAGTCCTGTAAGTAGTTAAATGAACAAGCATGTTAGATATGATGTCATTAATGACCCTTCCCCAAATAGCCTAAGCATTTCGGATAATTGGTCCATGACAAACTGCTATGAAAGGGAGGTGCATGTACAAATTAATGATGAAAAGTTTGTGATTATTTTCCCTATAAACACAAATGATATGTAGGAAAGCAATTTTGTGGACAATAATGATTGCTTGATTAGTGGGTTCAAAAAGGTTTCGAGTTTGGTTCTCGTGATGCTCTTTCTTTAGAAGGTCATACTTGAGAATAATACAAAGGAATTATATTGAAATTTTTAGAGTGAATTTCCCTTTCTTAGTATCTCATTTATAACGACTTTAGATACACAAGATACAATGAATGAGAAGGGAGAGAAGAGAATCTGAAAAGATATATCTAGGAACTGGGTCTAGCACAAAGCACACAACACCTTAACAATAACTTCTATTTAAGACTATGAGGTATTCTTAAGGATTTTGTTACTACATCTCCAAGTTGATCATTTGATTTGACAAACTTAGGGTAAATTTCCTTGGATAAATTTTTTTTGAATAATCAACCAGGTTATTACAGTTCATCTTCATTTGCTGAATCTCAGAAAAATCTAGTTTTTGGAGGAACTGTTATACCCATATAAACTCACGAGTGAGGGATGCCTTTGCTCTATACTTAGCTTCAACAAATGATCAGAAAACAACATTTTGTTTCTTGCTTTTCTAAGAGATAATATGTCCTCCAAGCAAAATACAATATTCTGTGGTAAAATGTCTGTCTATAGGAAAACCAACCAAACTAGCATCACAATATTTAAAGATTTGAGTACTGCTTTTATCTTCCTAAAGTAGTCCTTGTCCAGGAGCTCTTTTGAGATACCTTAGGATACGGATGACATCATTCCAGTGATCTTTACAAGCATTTTGCATGAATTGACTCCACCAACTTCTATATCTTTCTAGATTAGAGAAAAATTCTTCATGCTTAGCCATTAGTTTCTCATTTGGATCCATTGGACAATCCATTAGTTTACAATCTATCATGGCTGTTTCGTTTAGGATATCAAGAATATATTTCCTTTGAGAGATTACAACTCCTTTCTTTGATTGAGCTACTTCTACCTAAAAATATTTTCTGATTTTTAAGATCCTTGGTCTCAAAATTATTGCTTTAGTGTTTCTTTAATTGAGAGATTTTAGTTTGCATCATTCCCTATAATAACTATATCATATTCTATGAAGTACACATTTTTCAGGGGAGGTGTGACAATAGAAAATAGAGTGGTCTGCTTTATTACATTTCAGGGCAACAGCCATGCCACTACTTTGAAATAGGGCAACAGCCACTACCTGAAATACCTGTTATCAAAGAATAAACAGTTTTTGGTTTAGGACTCTAGTATCCCAAAGTTTCTTGTTTGAGATGCATTTTTACTGTATTGGACTGGTTTGTTTCTGCTTATATTTTTAATAAAATAAGCATATTTCTGTTTTTTAATGTGTTTGTCTAATCTGCTTATTTTAAAATATGCAATTTTCTGCTTTTATTTAAGAAGAAAACCCTTTTTTCATTCTAAATGAATGATTTTTAAAAAATTTTTATTTCAAAAATACTTGGTTTAAGTTTAAACAAATTGACCCATTATTTTGTCTTATTTTATAGGAGTAGCACGTTTTCACCTTTAACTAAAAAATGTGAACGATTATTTAAAATCAGTTTCTTTTATGTTTCAATATCTCCATTTGTTTCGTAACTTGCAATTTCTTTCGACATATGAACATAAGAAATGACCTAGGTGTAGGAGGAGAGGAATAATTCGCTTAATGAAGGATTGAATCTCAACATCATCACACCTATTCTAAGAGCTACAAGCATATTACAAATATTTTCTATTCCTAGAAATTTATTTCTTTTGATAAGTGTATTCTGAAAATAAATTTGGTAGGTTTAGAATTTTTATTAGAGAAACTTATTACATATATATATATATATATATATATATATATATATATATATTGATTATGAACTTGAGTGTGATAAAAAGGAATAAGTTTCTTGAATTAAGTTAGTGGTTGGTTCTGGTATTATTTGTTTCATTCTTTTTTAAGTAAAATCTCAGGTTTCAGTCTTGTATATAGTGTATATGTCAGATAAGAGAATTAGCTCCACTATGTGGGGATGTTCTTAGTATGGATAAGATTGTTTCTTGTAGAGGATACTTGTGATGCTAAACCCAAAAATGATTGAACCAGGTAGCCTAGAATCTTTCTTTTTTGTACAATTTTCAAGGTAAACTAGAATGTGTTGAAAATAATAGTTGACTCAGAATTTCACTGTACAAAGCCATATTTACTACATATAGCTTTGCCAACTATCAGATAATCTACTCAGAAGTTTAATTCAGAGGTATTTTGAATCAGTTTATGTTAGGAACCAAGAATTGACAAGAGAAAGAAAAGAAAGGTTTTTTATTGAATAGACTGAAAGAACAAAAACCAGGAGAGCCCTCTCTCCTTCAAGGATTTTCCCTTCACAAAGAGCTAAAGCTTAATCTACAAAAGTCACCTCCTTCCTCCTACTCTCTCCTTCTTTCCTATTTATATCTCAGTAACACCTCAAGTAATTGATTCTTGAATACTCTAACTACCTTAACTAATTTCTCTTCTCCATGTGTCCTAACAGTTTATTAATCCTCCGTTTCTTCTGGTTCAAAGATTATGTTTTCTGCAAATCTGTTGCAGTTATATTTGCCTGCTGATTATTTTTTATCATTCTCTGTTGAAAATGATGTGTAATTAGCTTAGTTATTTGGTTACACAAGTTGAGAGGGATATTAAAGTCTGTATATTTTATTCTAAATTAAGGAGAGACTTCATCACAAAGGCTTTCGTTAAGACTCGTTAAAGTTTTTTGGTTTAATTACCCTTAGTTTCAACAGTTGGGACTTGGTATGTCAGAAAGTTGGAGATGGACGTTAAGCATCCAATTGATGTAGTTCCTATTACTTCTGACCGCACCTCATCTNATATATATATTGATTATGAACTTGAGTGTGATAAAAAGGAATAAGTTTCTTGAATTAAGTTAGTGGTTGGTTCTGGTATTATTTGTTTCATTCTTTTTTAAGTAAAATCTCAGGTTTCAGTCTTGTATATAGTGTATATGTCAGATAAGAGAATTAGCTCCACTATGTGGGGATGTTCTTAGTATGGATAAGATTGTTTCTTGTAGAGGATACTTGTGATGCTAAACCCAAAAATGATTGAACCAGGTAGCCTAGAATCTTTCTTTTTTGTACAATTTTCAAGGTAAACTAGAATGTGTTGAAAATAATAGTTGACTCAGAATTTCACTGTACAAAGCCATATTTACTACATATAGCTTTGCCAACTATCAGATAATCTACTCAGAAGTTTAATTCAGAGGTATTTTGAATCAGTTTATGTTAGGAACCAAGAATTGACAAGAGAAAGAAAAGAAAGGTTTTTTATTGAATAGACTGAAAGAACAAAAACCAGGAGAGCCCTCTCTCCTTCAAGGATTTTCCCTTCACAAAGAGCTAAAGCTTAATCTACAAAAGTCACCTCCTTCCTCCTACTCTCTCCTTCTTTCCTATTTATATCTCAGTAACACCTCAAGTAATTGATTCTTGAATACTCTAACTACCTTAACTAATTTCTCTTCTCCATGTGTCCTAACAGTTTATTAATCCTCCGTTTCTTCTGGTTCAAAGATTATGTTTTCTGCAAATCTGTTGCAGTTATATTTGCCTGCTGATTATTTTTTATCATTCTCTGTTGAAAATGATGTGTAATTAGCTTAGTTATTTGGTTACACAAGTTGAGAGGGATATTAAAGTCTGTATATTTTATTCTAAATTAAGGAGAGACTTCATCACAAAGGCTTTCGTTAAGACTCGTTAAAGTTTTTTGGTTTAATTACCCTTAGTTTCAACAGTTGGGACTTGGTATGTCAGAAAGTTGGAGATGGACGTTAAGCATCCAATTGATGTAGTTCCTATTACTTCTGACCGCACCTCATCTAACAAAAAATCACGTTTGTCGCAAACTTGCAGTTATTCATTCATTAATTCCTAAATAAATCTGACTTATATTTTTCTGGGCATATTTCCGCATATGAAGTCAGGTCACATTAGCACGATTAGGACACTAGTTGAACCAGATTTTTGAGTGGCTATCTGTACATTAATAAGGATTTCAGCTAAGTACACAGACTAAAGGATTTGTGCTGAAGACAGATCCGTAGAAAATATGGATTATTGTTTTTAGTTTCTCTGGATTTGTTTTTCAGTAAGTAGAACGTATCTAACACATCAGCGAAAATAACTTTCTTAACAGGTGGATTGCCAATTATCATGAACATGAATCCCTGTTGCAAGAAAATGAAGAGGAAAAACTATCAAAAGAGGAGCAAGATATGGCTTGGGAGGTTTACCGAAAATCCCTGGAATGGGAAGAAGTCCAGAGAGTACCACTAGGTGAGTCTATTGTGCCTATTCAGAAACCAGAAATTCCAAATGACGTGCCCCTCGTATCAGAAACCTGTAACATCTTGCCAAGTAAACTAAGCCGACGTTTCGCATCACGGAAATGCACAAACCTTGCGCACATGTTGACACTTCGAAGCCAGGGAACAAAATTCGGTTGCAGTACTATCTGTGGGGAATGTGCCCAGGAGATTAGGTGGGAAGACTTGAAGAAGAGATAGGAATGTGGCAACATGAAGGATGACATAATCTAATCTGTTCATATATATATATATATAAATCTTTTTTTTATCGTAAATGGTTATGTCCCCATATTTAAATCATTTCTGGATGAACATGTTCCTCCCAAAAAATGAAATAGAAATGTTTATTTTGTTGCCGTGAGCATTTAATGGCTTTTCTATGTGGAAAATAGTATCGTGTTTTATCAAGCTTATTGGATACCAAAGCGTCGTGTCGGTCCCTGGGTGGGTTCATCATATTTCAAGAAATATATCCTGGTCTGTGATCACTTGCTGGTAATAATAGTGCATATCAAAAGAAAAATATCTAAGGTTACTATAATCAAATCATGGAAACAGAGGCCATGCTTGCATAATTACCCTTTTCAAACAAAACATAGAAAGAATATCGCGCATTAGGTTGCCTTTTGTTTTCATTTTGTTAGATGATAGTTGTTACAGTCGCAGCAGTTTCTTTCTGCACTTTCGTAACTTTTATCCTGCACTCTTGTTTTGTTTCTTTTTTATTTCTAGATTTTACTCAGAAGATATTTTTTTACTTCATGTAATTTAAAAATTATTTTTTTTAAAGTGTACAATGCAAAAATTAAATAAGTTTTGGACTGTACAGTTTGAAACTTTTGAATTATATGATGCGGAATTTATTTTTATTTTTTAAATTGTAAAATTTGAAGAGCACAAAATGAAAAAACAAATTATATAGGATGCAGGAAGAAATTTATTAAGGTTCAGGAAAAACTGCCTACAATCTTGTGAATTACATAATGTGGAACTTAGTTTTTGTTTTTGAATTGTACATTTCGAAGAGAGGACAAAATGAGAAGGTTTTTTTATACAAGAGGCAGGAAGAAATTTATTAAGGTGCCGGAATAACTCTCTTCGTTATATTAATTTCGTGATTATTTGAAAAGATGTTAGGTCATCTCGAAAACATGCAATAGCAATGGTTTTTCATCAAAAGGAGGAGGAAGTTTTGTTGGTATTTTTCAATAATGATCTTAACATATTTCATTTGAAGTATTTAGTATTTACATTTTGGTAGGTTTCTGTGTATAGGCCAGAGTTGTCAATGAATTCCATTGCGGGGTTGAATTACATTTTGGTAGTAATAAACATTTTTAAATTGAATAAATATGTATAATGATACCTGTAAAATTAATTTTATCAAAGTAAAATAAAAAAAAAAGTATTTAAAAAAGAGAAAAAAGAAGAAAAAATTTATAAAATAAAAAATATATTAATTCGAATTATTAATATTTCACAACTTTTTTTATATTGTAAATTATTTACAAAAATTCATTTAGCAAATTACATAATATATGGAGTAATATATTAAATTAAATTGTGATGTGATTGCTCTGTTACTGTTTTTTTAAGTGTATTGTATTTTTAAAAAGGTTTAAACCCTCCCTTGGTCCTCAAGTTTGTATGGAAATCTCAGTTTGGTCATCATCTTTTTTTCTGTCTCAATTGGATCATATTTTTTGTAAAAATGAGCACATTGTACCATAACCGTTAAGTGGTGTGAGACGGCGTTAAATTCATGTGAGCTGGATTTTTTCATTTACCGACGTGGCATTGTGCACTAAAATTGAAAGGCCACGTGGTGATGTTTTGACTAGAACCAGATCTTCTCCTCCCTCCCCCTCTGCTTCCTTCCATCGGCGCCACCCACCATCTACAACACAATCACAGACCACTGGAAAACACGGACCATGTAGCCAGTTGGCATTCCTAGATTCTTGTAGGAAAAGATATCCCTCTCTGACATATGAGGTTCGTGTGCTTGAGAAGGAACTTGAGATCCGGAATGAGGAGAGGGATATCCCTCTTTGACTTTGAGAGGTCTGAAATGTGATCAGACATTGGAAGCTTATATGATGCAACGTTACTTATATGATGTTGTACACTTAAATGCCCTTTATGTAAATCTTCAATCTGCGACTCAAGATGCAAAAGTTTGGAAGCTGTTCGAGTAAGCATTACTCTCGAGAATTGAAGCTCATTCAATTTCCTATTTAGGGATTCTTTTAAAACCTTGTTTTCTTCTTCCACAGCACATAACTGCTCTGTCAAAGTATTGATTTTTGTAATGGGAGTCTCAGGAGAAGTGTCAACTGAAGATTCAACCAGTAAACTGTTGGTGCTCAATTTGCTCCTCCTTATTTCAAATGAATCCCGTCCCAACATTTCAACTTCATTTTTCATTTTTGCCAGGGCAGCAGGACCTGGTAACCGTTTCCGGACCAGAAGCCGCAGCCTCTGACATTCTAATTCTAACTTGGCAATTTTTTTGGTACTCTCTAATCCCTCTCTGGCATGTGAATGATTTCGATCTGTTTGACTTTGATTCAAGTAGAGGCTTTGGTGGGTGGCGCCGATGGAAGGAAGCAGAGGGGGAGGGAGGAGAAGATCTGGTTCTAGTCAAAACATCACCACGTGGCCTTTCAATTTTAGTGCACAATGCCACGTCAGTAAATGAAAAAATCCAGCTCACATCAATTTAACGCCGTCTCACACCACTTAACGGTTATGGTACAATGTGCTCATTTTTACAAAAAATATGATCCAATTGAGACAGAAAAAAAGATGATGACCAAACTGAGATTTCCATACAAACTTGAGGACCAAGGGAGGGTTTAAACCTAAATATTTTTAACAAGACTAAGTTTAATTATATTTATATTTACTTAATCATATAAATATTAATTATGTTATTTAAATATACTTATAAGGTTTAAAAAAACAGTGGCATAACATGGTGGTGTGAATTTTCCAAATGAATTAGCTCATTGAACAAATTATTAATGTGAAATTTCACTTTTTTTAAAATAAAAAATTGAGAAAGTTTGGTGAAAAACAAGTAGTTAATTAAAAGTGGGTTTCTTCTTTCATTAATTTCTATGGAAACTTCACTATGAAAATTCATATAATTGCTTTTAAGATCAATTTGGTTTTAAAAACGATCTTCCATTCATCACCTTGTTTGATGAAAATTTAGCTATAATTGCTTTTAAGATCAATTTTGAAAAATATGTATGACTCATCCAATTCATCCAAGAGATCATCCGAGGGATGATGTGCCTATATTTAATGGTGATATTATTGATGGCTTAACAATTAGTACAAATTCGCCAACTCCCATCCTTTTGGGGGACAAGAATGATCGGCATAACACAAGGACTCATTGTCTTGAATCCAACCTTTTTCAATACGACTCTCAACTTGTTATTCCAATTCATTTTTATGAATTATTGAGTTATACGAGTTATTGTTCGATGAAATGTTACGAAAACATATGGAAAAAATAGTCACAAAGAAAACAATTGGTGAGTGAAATAGGTTGCAACGCCAAACCAGATTCAGACTCAACATAAGAATTTAAAGAAACCAAAAGAGAGAAAAATGTATCCCACTGTAGCAATCCATGCTTACAATGAACATGAAGAGAATCATCATGTCCTAGGATTCGACATATTTGTTTATCACACTCCTCACGAAGTAGGTGAACATCACTGAGACATTGAAGACTGGATGCAAGTACACGCCACTCAGTGGATTAAGATAACTGCAAAATTACTACTTGGCTACAAGCTCAAGTTAAAAAGTTTTGCATCACAACACACAAGTTCAAAATGCACTCAAACATAGTTTTGCTACTATTATGCTCTAAAGTTGTCATGATATTAGTGTTGTTATCTATTTATAGCACGAAAGGCGATCCTAATCAACAATTAATCATGTATTAAGCTATGATTAAAAGAGTATGAAGAAAACTATCTATTAACAAGCATATAAGGGAAGCTAAAAGGTCAAATGTGCATTCCATGTCACAGTTGTCTCAAGTTCAGATGCTACAGTGCAAGCTTCCCTCAAGTGTGGCTGAAAAATTGTTCATTCTAAGACCAACCTATCGATGGACGTACAATCCTCTTTGTTAGGCACCTATGTGTGAACAACACAAGTGAAAATGTTGCTTTGTGTCCTGCCCCTAGTCACCCTTCTCTGATTCATAGTCAAGATGGTGTCATGCTTCTTGGGATTGAGAGAATATAGGCAAAAGATGAAGTTATATATGATGAGGGTATCGTGAATTAAGGAAGCATGAGGATACCACAATTTCATGTCTTAAGGTGTATAAGTCTTGACATAAGAGACAAAGTGGAATTTTTTTCCTACCAAGATTTGAATGACTTGGTACATTTTTGTATAAAGGTAGAGTAACAAAATTTTAGAAAAGGATTGAAAGACAGCCACTCTAACTCCTATGTGAAGAAGGACTACAAGAGAGAGGGGAAACAAGTCAAAGAAGACCAATCTTGGAACATAGAAAAAGAAAAGGAAAAACCAAGGAAGGATCATCATCACACACTCACACTAGTGATATCAAGTATTTCAAATTTCTTGGTAGAGGTCACATTGCATCATAATGTCCTACCAAAAAGACTGTAACCTTTAAGAGCATTGACACCTATGGTAGCCAAGAAGAAGAGAGTTCTACTGAGAGTGAGGATCCATATGGGACAAAAATAAGGATACCTACCCTTATTTTGGGAACCTTTTTATGATTAGAAGGATTCTTCATAATCAACCTAGGCTACTAAATTTTCACAAAGAGATATCATCTTTTGTACAATATGTAAAGTTAAGAAAACACATGTTTTCTCATTGTAGATAGTGGGTCTTGTTGCAACTATTGTAGCATTAGCCTAGTTGATAAGTTGACTTTAACTATTTTGCCTAATCCTAAGCCTAATAAACTTCATTAGCTTAATTAAGATGAGGACATGATAGTTGACTAGTAGGCGAAGGTCAAGTTTCCATTAAGTATGATGAGTGTGTTATTGTGATATAGGCCTTAGGTAAGCTGGTCATATTTGATTGGGAAGACCTTGAAAATTGACAAGAAAATCATGCATAATGGCTTCACTAATAAATAACCTTCGAAGGAGATTTTAAAGTTTGTACTTTCTCCTTTAACACCGACCTAGGTGATAAAAGACCAAGTTTACAAATGAAAAAAAAAGAGAGAAGAGAAAAATAAGAAGAGAAGGAACAAAAATTGTCTACTACATTCATCTAGTAAAATAAACAGTTCCCCAAGTGTTCAAGTAGAAGACACAAAAACTTTTAGCGTGCCCTAGCAAACAATTCAAATCTTAAAGTACAAAGGACTTATATGTGTCAATCAAGATAGAGTCAGTATTAATTCTTCCTTTAAAGAAGAAAGACAAGACCAAAATAAACCTTGTGTTGAAAAAGGAAGTTACTTCAAGATTACACGGACACAACATAAGACAAACAAGGAACTAAATAAAAATGCTCCTAAAAACAAAATATCTTTGTCATTCATTTGATAAAGGTGTATGAACATTATGAGCTACGTTCTTTGGATGTTTGTCAACACAATACTTACTTTGTTGTTTGGTGTTTGTAGTAGAAAGGTCTTTAATTTTGGAGGAAGGAGACATGACATGACCAATGAAAATGGTTGTCGTCAAGGAGAGTCATGAAGATCTGAGGACAAATCCTTCTCAAAAAGGGGA